CCCCCCCCCCCCCCCTCCCTCGTTCAGTACTTATCTTTTGTCCTGGCCCTCACCTCTCCTTGTCCCTTCGTCCCCCAACTGAAGAGAACGTAGAGATATTGGAATCTTAAAGATAAATCAGGCCATTCTGTTTTCTTATTTTTCCACACTTAAGGCCTTCACACACCGTGGGATGTGACACTTAACGGCATGAAAATGCGAAATACTCGCCTGTGAATAATTCACATCAAAACTATTCATGCTGGCAGCAATGCAAATTTGCAACAGTTCCAGCACTATTTCAGTAAAATAGATTTGCGCAGAGGACCAACTCCCTTTGACCCGGAGCAGCGTCTGGCACTCTGTCGGAGGTATATCGGTATGTAGCCTAAGCTACTGTGAGCTGTTTTATTGAATTTCCCTTTAGCGAAATGTTCCCTCTTGTTAACAGTTACGCAGTGAACTGTATACGTCCAGGGCTTTTATTGTGAAAAGTAAGAACAAAAGTAGAGGATATGGTCTGCGTTTCCTTTGTCAATGTTGAAGAAGTAAAGTTTCCTGTCTTGGTTCAGGCCACAGAGCCTCTGTGTTGTCGTACGCTATAATGTACACTTTGAACATGTCCATTCCGCACAACGTGATTGGTTGATGCCTGTATTTAAATAGATGAAGTTGCTTTTGGACTGTTTTTGTGTGGACAGTTTGCTGGTAATGGCATACTTAACCTTTCAATGTAGCAGGCAGTATCAAGTATATACTGATTGAGTATGTAGTATGCAGTACGTGAGTATGCAATTTCGAACACAGCCTTGTTTATAACATTTGTGAGGATCTGACTGCTTGTGTTTGTTCCCCCTTCGGCCCTTTATTTAAGAGATGTTGCCATGTTCTAAGATGCTTGGTAGGTATGTTATCAAAACCAATAGAACCGATGGTCTGACTTACTTATGACAATAAAATCCAGCTTGTTTATAATTAGTTTTCCCTCGAGAATCTCTTATTTCCTCTACTCTGGACCTGTAAAGCTGTACAAACTACAAAACAATAAACGTTGTCAGATCATGGATAAACTGACGATTAAGTGCTAATGTGATTCATTCCAGAATTAATGGCAATGTCGGATGTCCCATCAGAACTGCACCACAAATCCACATCAATCCATGTAAGGCTTCGTGGATCCACAGTGAACATGCAGTCAAATTTATCATTGTGAAGGAAAATGATGGGAACCAAATATCCAGATTGAAAATTGAAGGGGTTGTACTTTCAACATTCTACATAGAGCTTTTGCTTTGATCGTAAAACACAGATGAAAGCATTGATGGGTGTTTTTGTGCCTGAAGGAGCAAGTCAGTGTTGAAATAACTGATACGGGTCATCAGTTACAGGACAAATGTACATGTAGTGATTTGACTCCACCTCCTTTTCCTAGATGGAGATATTCCCTCCCATATGTTTGAACCCGCCCAAAATGTGCACATAAATACCATATTGAAGGGGCCAGCGTTGCAGCTCGGGCTTATCCGATTGGTTGGAGAGGTAGGAGGATGAAAAAGACATTTGTCAGCAGTACCCGCCAGTCAGGTCGAAGCCAACAAGATGTGGACAAAACTCAATTTCAGCATTAATGGAATAATCCCACGGTTAATGTGCCGCCTACTGGAGCAGAACAGGAGCTCAACCCAGGGTCAAGCCTTTGGATGTTGGGTGGCAGACCACGAAGGGCACGTCACCTAATTCACAGTCACGGCTAATTCACATTTCCACCATAGTGATCTTGAATTACAATTTAATTGGATTGTCCAGCTGTTCTGTAGTCTTCTCCTATGCACACATATTATTACCTGCCTCGAACTGTCAGTCAGCTTGTTCCAGAAGATTCTTCAGTAGTAATGAGTTTTTTCCTCTCTTTCTAGGGTTACTTCCTGCTGTTTGAGTCCATGTTGGACTCTGTCCTGTACGCCAGAGACCTCTACCTGGCGGACAACGGCTCAGGTAGGTCGCATCTTCTCCTCACCACAAAATCAAGGCAGCACAAAGGGTTGTTACGTCAAAGTTGGCGATTATCTCTCAGGTACATGATATATGCCACGTAAAAACTGCACAGAAAATAACTTTTCTCCTGGCATTGTCATTGAATTTCTCCAAATGTAGTTTGTGAATGAATGCTTCATTTTAATAGTGTTCTGCTTTGTTAACACTAAAGTGACGCCAAAGCCACCTTCCACCGTTTGGGGGCATAAACTTTACAAAAGCTCTACAAAACCCACTTGCGTCAACTTCAAATCAATCAAAGGCTCAGTGCGCCAAGTTAACACAACATGATGTGAACCAACAGCATTGTAACCAATACAGACTAATAAAAATATATTTCACATGGCTTGTAGTTGCTGAATCCAAAGGGAAAATGTTTTGTACTGTCTCTGCTAACACAATAAAAGACTAATCTAACTTACCATAGCATCTCCATTACCTGCTGCTGTTTAATTATCAGCTGATAGAGCTTCAGCATCAGACCTGTTGCCTCATGTGCCCCCTGCACTCCATTTAAGTGAGTTTCCCTGTCCCCGCCACTATGTAACAAGCAGCAGCCTGGCCCAAACAAATGGAACGCAACCCTTGAAAATCTTTGAGTTCAGCATTGGTTCATTTTCCAAAGTAGGAAAGGTGAGTTTTTCCTCTGCAAATCTTAAAATATTTATACTATCAATAGAATTCTCCGCATATAGCGGAAATGTATTTGAATTCAAGAATAGAATGTGTTTTATTACTCAGTTGAGTCTGTTTCTCCTGCCATTGAAAAGTTGGAGTGGTGCAGTGTGATACTGAGGTCAGCAGGGAGACACTGCTCATACCAGCTCCCTGTGGTTATTACAAGTAGCATGGGAGTGATTGGAACGGTTTTCTTGTAGTTCCCACTGGGTGTGTCAAATGTACGTGTGTCAATACAAGCAGCAAACATTGCAGTGATACAGTCAAATGCATAAGAAAAGCCAGAAAACTATGAGCGAGAATGAAAATAATAAAATCCTATTTAGACCGAGGGTGTGACCGGAGTGAGGCAGAAAGTGACAGGTCAGAGGACATCGTATGGTTCGTCATGAGCCTTTAACCCTGACGCTCCCAGAACTGGATGCTCTCTCCGGATCTACTGCCACTCAAAACCAAGAAAAATGTCAAGTAGCCCCTTCCACTTCCCCCGATGGAGCTGGTTTGATATGGGAACGTAAAAATGTTTTTTTTTAAAGCTCTACAGCAGGGGTCGCCAATAGGCGGACCGCGGTCCGGATCCGGACCCAGACGTCGTTGTATTCATCGTCATTGTCCGGCCCTGTAGCACTGCTGCTGTATGTGTGTTTAAGCTACATAAGAAGAGAGTTAAAGTGGCTTGCTCATTCTCCCCACTACATTAACCTCCCCCTTCATCCTTAAATGTGTCCCTGCATGCCTGGCACAGCACAGCGTCCAGGGAAAAGGGATCTGTTTTGTCCCATGCCCCCCACACACACACACACACACACACACACACACACACACACACACACAC